TTCTAGAATATTGTATATTAAACCGTTAGGTGAGGGTTCTATTTACCTACTGTTAAACTAATAGAATTTTTACTATAGATCTTATAGAGTACGATATAGTAAATTTACCATCTGAGTTCTAGAATATTATATATTAAACCGTTAGGTGAGGGTTCTATTTACCTACTGTTAAACTAATAGAATTTTTACTATAGATCTTATAGAGTATGATATAGTAAATTTACCATCTGAGTTCTAGAATATTATATATTAAACCGTTAGGTGAGGGTTCTATTTACCTACTGTTAAACTAATAGAATTTTTACTATAGATCTTATAGAGTACGATATAGTAAATTTACCATCTGAGTTCTAGAATATTATATATTAAACCGTTAGGTGAGGGTTCTATTTACCTACTGTTAAACTAATAGAATTTTTACTATAGATCTTATAGAGTACGATATAGTAAATTTACCATCTGAGTTCTAGAATATTATATATTAAACCGTTAGGTGAGGGTTCTATTTACCTACTGTTAAACTAATAGAATTTTTACTATAGATCTTATAGAGTACGATATAGTAAATTTACCATCTGAGTTCTAGAATATTATATATTAAACCGTTAGGTGAGATGCTCCTGCCTATCATTACGTCGCTTAAATGCTTTGTTATTTACGTTTTTATAACCTATTAGGTCACCTCTAGTGAGCATGCCAATTAATTTTTATCTCTTACATCCTTAAGACGTGTTTCAAATGAGCAAGAATAGCAGTGAATTTCCGTCAAACTCGTACATGCATGTCATTATGTCATGATCTCGCCTAAATGCTTTATTAACAACGTAATTATATCAATTTACTAACGAGGTATATAATATTACAAGTTGTTTATTGTGGTACAGGAGGTGACATATGTCGTGTGTCGTCAGAATAATATATTTCTACAAACCATTCAATTCTATTTTTATAAAGTGTCAAATCAATAAAATATATATATAACTATAAATTACTACATTTAGAAACTAGAATATTAATTTCACTTACCGTTTACGAGCGTTGGCATTTTTCATGGCTGCTTTAAGCAATCCACATAATATCACAGACAATTCCAAGAGAATTCCAGAGAACTGCGTCACAAATATTCCAAATAGAAAATACGAAAATATCACCCCCACACAAAATAATTCCCGCGTTTTAAACCAGAAACGAAACAGTGAAGTAATCTACTGGAAATTTTAAAACAGATTAAAAATAATCCACGAAAAGACACTTCACCTTTTCACCAACTAGATCAGAATTTAGCAGACGACACAAAACTGTAGCAGAAATGGAAGTTGGTGAAACCGCGCAGCCGATCAGTAAGTATTATATTATGTCGCGTGCCATAAGGAATGGACAGAGTATTTTTGGTGAGCTCGAGAAGGAATCGATAGTTCGGAGTTTGAAATTATCAGACAATTTCATGATGAAAGAATACAAAATTTCTTCACTTTCCTCTCCGCCGATTATTAACTCAACTTGACAGTACAAAATCTTGGCTAGAAAATGGCGAACGTCTGAAAACCTCACGTCTGTTACGAGTTTTTGCCAAAAGGATTAGTTTGTAATTCGGTTTGTTTAATCCCTGTATTTAAAACATATGAACTGATGGTTTAACTTAACATTTCCTCTCCATAATATTTATATATTTTAATAGTTTCTCTTCTCGTGATGACGAGTATCTTTCTAATGTCCGGCCAGTGCTTTCGAGGACCGGCCTACTGAATTGCCTTACGTGGTTCTGATTAACCCCAGCAGTATTAGCCTACTCATTTTCCCTTTTTATCTGTCGAGGTATTTAAAACGTTCACATTCTGTAAGCAACGAGAGAAATGGTTTAGCAAACATCCCACCTTGAACAATAAGTTCTTATAATTAATGATGGTATAGTATAGTATATTGATGAAATGATGGTGATAATGAGGATGATAAAAGATGATCGAATATCGATATGTCACTTGTAAATTATACGGTTATTATACTTCTTTCAAGTTATAGTCTCCCTTAGATATTAATAAATTGTTATTAACATTGATTGAAACAAAGTTTATAAAAGTCTAGTCTTAGATTGAAAACATGAATTTTTAAGTTGCATTATTGAAGTATTATTCTTTCAACTTGCGGTTCTTTTAGATCACGATTTGTGATTAAAACTTACAGTGTTAGATTCTAGAATGGATGTAGTCCGAAATATCTGCCTCTGATAGTTATTGTGAAGTTGTCTGTTGGCGAGATATAGGTATCAGAGGTTGGAATACAGACAGATATTTTGGACTAGTAGGGGATGTAATCTAGTTGTGTAGGTTAGGTTTAATCAGGAGACGAACTAGAGACAGGAAACCAGTTTGTAATAAAAACAATCCAGTATGAAATATAACAGTATTAATTACAGTTAACAGAAAGTTGGTCAATATATTAGTCGTGGTTATTGATGTTATTATTGACAGCCATCTTGTCAACTGTATTCACCAACAACTGAACCGAGTCCTAACGACTTCCTGTTTCTTTTGATCTCTGTTCTCAGATACTCTGATCGATGGTGGAACTTGTATTTGATGGAAACCAGACTCAAGTAAGCCTGCAATCATATCATCTCACTAATAATATTGTCGTTGAAAACGTCGATCAAACGTTTCTAAGGTACCAAGATAGTCACCTTGAGAGATTTCGGCTATGTTGCAAGAAATATGACCAAATATGTATCGTACGATAAAAAAAAACAACAAGTGGTAAACTTTTTTAATTTCACTTCAACAGTTTTTATCTAGTCGGTCGATCAAACTTTACCAATGGGTCCAGTGTATCAATACAAAGAAGAAAAGTTTGGGTATGTTTTAACTATATTATTCAGATATATTATTGTGAAGGTCTCGTCTAAAATGACTGTGTGGAACCAACCAAACCAATGACTGTAATTTACAGACTGGAATCTGTGGTAGACATATCAATCAATATACTACTACCAGTCTTATTATTACTATCATCTCTTAATTTGACAGGACCTGGATTCCTTCAGACGAATCATTCCATTTCATTTTGTTATTAATTGTTGAATAAATCCATCGTCTATTACGATTAGTTCTGCAAAAATCGACAGACAGTTCACAGAGGTTTTGTTTTAAAAAGAAACAAACAACCATTATTTACAAAGATAACAACTTAAATTCTCTAGGATTCTTTCTACTGCAGTTGGATCTATACCTCTTGTTATTGATCTTTTGTTGTATTATCTTAGTACACATTTATAGCTGGATCGATTGAAATAATGAAATAACTACATCTTCATGGTCATCAGACTTTCAAATGTAGACTGAAATTAGGACCCACGACCATCATTTGTTCGACGAGAAAACAAATATTACTCAAATTTCAACGCTACAACTGGTCTTTCCTGTATACGTACCCATTTACACTGAAAATATTGAAATAACAACTTCTCCAAGGTCATGCAGATCGAGATTAGGACCCTCGACCACCATTTATTCGACGTTACGTATATTAGAACATATATTATTATAGTATAAGTTGACACGTCATCATAGCCGTGATTCTCTCTAGTTGATTATATTACAGATAATAATGATGCTAGTGTAATTAAACCTGTAAATTAATTACTTTCTATTAATTATCACCTTGAACTCTTACCGGATTCGAACCCCCCAACACCTAATATCTTAGCTAAATATAATAATTAAGTCTCAAGATTAATTAGGAATTGTTAATTATTATTACATGAGAATTATCACCTTGAACTTTCCCTGACATCCATCATCTACTGTCTTCACTATAACTAGAATATCATAGATAAAATAGACAAACCAAACCAACAACACAGAATCATCCAATTTGAACCAATCCAACTACCAACTACTACGACTACCAACAACTACCTAGTTTGCGATATCAGTATCTGCTGGAAGCGAACGTTAACTTGTCATCTACCAACAACTACCTAGTTTGCGATATCAGTATCTGCTGGAAGCGAACGTTAACTTGTCATCTACCAACAACTACCTAGTTTGCGATATCAGTATCTGCTGGAAGCGAACGTTAACTTGTCATCTACCAACAACTACCTAGTTTGCGATATCAGTATCTGCTGGAAGCGAACGTTAACTTGTCATCTACCAACAACTACCTAGTTTGCGATATCAGTATCTGCTGGAAGCGAACGTTAACTTGTCATCTACCTGCCTCCCTAAAAGACACAGTGAGCTTCTATAAAGGTGATGGTAAGGTAAATGTGTTTAACTCCTCTATCCTAGCGTTGGGTGTTATAGAAGATACTCTTCTATAAAAGCACTGGCCAAGGTCACAAGAAGAGAACATACTTCTTTTGCATCAATTATCAGTTTGTATAATAAGACTGAATTGAAAGTGTACTATAATATACGTTCGATTGTTAATATTTCACACATAATCCAAATGTTAAAAGTTTTGATATTTGTTTTAAATGTTATATAAATTCGCTTGTGTTGATAGCACATGAAATTTGTTTTTAAATAACTCAAAAAACCCTGTAAACAATAACAAACGACAATTTTGCTCGAAGCTATTCGTCGGTATAATGAAAAGATGTTTTCGATAGCCTCAATAAACTCACCTTGTACCAGATTGCCGAAAATAATTAGTTTGCCCCCTCTTAATAAAGCCTTACAACCGACCAATTCCATTACTGCAATTAAACACCATACACCATTACCCCTCTAGATATATTACTTGACCCGTCGGATATATTACTTACCCCTCCAGATATATTACTTGCCCCTCCAGATATATTACTTTCCCCTCCAGATATATTACTTAACCCTCCCCTCATCAATTCTTGCTACAGGTCTGTCACGTATAGTTCTCACGTATAGTTGACATAGTTTGGTTTGTTCTAGTCTAGTTTATATAACTATATAACCCTGGTACAGAATGGCTTTAATCATGATCAGACCTCACTCGTTTCTCTGTGCACATCATCAGTTGAGTCGGAAGTCAACAAGTCGATTTGTTGACGGAGCTTAATTGTGAATCAGTCAACTGTTTACAAAGCTTATTGTGAACCAACAAATTTTTCTCCATTTTCTGCACCATTTATATTTACTTACTCAGTTAAATTCGACAGTAGATAGCGGAGACTCAAACACTGTCGAGTGAAGGTTTTTACTTCAGTAGTTCTCCAACCAGACAGCCTTTTTACCAGTTTTTCGTCTTCAAATTAAGTTCAGAAGTTTTCTACAGTAGATACCGGAGACTCAGAAATTATTTTCTACAAAGTTTAGTTATTTGGATTAGAAAAAGATTTTCAGAATTACGTTAACAAATCAAGCAGTTTTTAGTTTGTCGTCAAGAAGACAGTCAATTTCGTCAGCCAATTTCGTCAGTGATCATGGAGAGCAAGTGTTCTAAAGTTTTAATTCCGTGTGACACCAGCGACCATATGGAATACGGAGTACAATATTATTACGAACGATTCCACAAACAAGGGAATGAGGTGGTCTTTCTACATGTGGATAATGAAACGATTCACGAACATCATCATGACGAGACGGACAAAGAACATCATGGTCACGAGAAAATCATTGAGTTAATGAAGGATAGGTTGAAGAAAATGTCGGTGAAGGCTGGAAACTTGGAGTCGGAGTTTTTGGTGGAGAAAAATAAAGATGTCGGACATACCATCCTTAAAGTTTCCGACAAGATCAAGGCTGATTGTATTGTTATGGTATCTAAAGATCGGGGTAAAATAAGAAGAACTTTAATGGGAACTGTTTGTGATACAGTGGCCCATAGTGCTCATCTTCCAGTAGTTTTGATAAAACGGCCAGGACATGGCTCTCGTAGTCCATTTCATTAAATATAGACCAATAGCATTTGACTTAAGTTAATTTCGTTAAATATAGACCAATAAGATTTGACTTAAGTTAATTTCATTAAATATAGATCAATAACATTTGACTTAATTAATTTCATTAAATATATAGATCAATAACATTTGACTTAAGTTAATTTCATTAAATATAGACCAATCACATTTGACTTAAGTTAATTTCATTAAATATAGACCAATCACATTTGACTTAAGTTAATTTCATTAAATATAGACCAATAACATTTGACTTAAGTTAATTTCATTAAATATAGACCAATAACATTTGAATTAAGTTAATTTCATTAAATATAGACCAATCACATTTGACTTATGTTAATTTCATTAAATATAGACCAACAGTTCAATTACCTTCATGGATCAGCGATCATTTGATTGTAATATATAGGATAGAAATTTATGAGTGTATCGTATTATGTTCACCTTTCTTGAGAAGGCATAGATTATTATTTATGTTATTTTATCAGTGTGTAACAGGAAGAAACAAGGGGGGTTCAAGTTGCTCTGTTCACACTGTCGATATTAAAGTTTCAGTTACCGCCAGATTCTCATATTGTACTCACATATTGTGTCTTGTCGTCAAAGATTGCAGTCGGTAGTTTTCCTCATGGTGGTAGCGACGAATCCAGTAGAATGTATAGATCGCCATTATATCTGTGTCCTCAGTAAAATATCGGGTCAAAAATGTTCATTTTATCTTATCGTGTTTAAAATTCCGTGATGTCGACATGATTTTATCTTTACTATGACTTTACTTTGTGAACTGGATCCATTTTTGGGATTTTTGTTTTGGTGTTTGTTTTTTGTTTGTTTTTTAGAAGAAATACGTTCATCAGTACCATTCACCTAATACTATTAATAAGTTAGTAATAGGAGTGTGAAAACTAGCTTATCATTATTTTATTGTAATTCATTAGAATTTTTAATTCACCACGCCTTAATTAACATTAGTTTATAGTAACATTAAAATAACTTTATAAAACATTGGAATGTTAATATTTATATTTGTGTTGGTTTATTTAAATATTGTATAAAACAGGTTATAATATTTTAGAAACCTTACCTGGTCAAGGCCTTATAAAAACTCTATAAACAGATAAACAGAATTCTTCTTCTCTGCTTATGTTATTCAGACAATAAGACACTTTCAACCCTTTCAGTTTTGACTCGTGGATGTAGTAATTTAAGGGTGTGGTCTTGTTAAACGTATATATACTATGCACAGCCTTGTTGATGGGGGCTAGTAACGCTGTCGTGAGTTTTTGTCGCAAATATCATGTCAAACCTGTACCCGTGACTTCCAGAGACTCAGCCACGGTAGAGATCCTCTCATTTCAAGTATAAAGGGAGGTAATCATCAAATATATGGGCTATACTACAGACAACAATCAATTCATCAAACTTTGCTGTGTACGACAGTAATTTATAAAATAATTGCATATTTTGGCATCAAAACTCTATCATAGTTTAGTAAAATATTTATTTTACAAATTTACAACATCAACCATTTAATCACATTCACTCAAACATTCTTTTCGTTTTTTCATGAGAATTTATGCTGCTATTGCCAGTTTAATGAGTCAATATATCTCACAGATCACATTGAGTCTTATCTGTCATAACTCAGCGTAAATATTCTTCACAGAAATCCTTCATACCTACACCAGTATTTATTATACACCTTATTTAGTCCAACTGACTTTAGGAATATCAAAATGTTCTGTCAGATTGTCTAGCTGTCTGTTAAAACCCTGGAATTATAAATATAAATGAAATGAATGGAGTTTTACATCCTACTATTCTGCACCTATTATAGATTTATAAATATTGAAACGTTCTCAACAAGTATAATATCAGGTGTGTAAAAACTTAACTTGGCGTTACTCCACTCTATTTCTAAGCCTTGTACTGAAGTAAAGACCCAGATATGTTGATTATTGATCAGAGCCTCATGTAATCTACTTACCATAATTCTTTCTTTATGAGTTTTACCAGCAATTTCTAAAATTTCTTCAGCTCTCTGTAATTATAAAATAATGATAATAAATTAATCAAAATATTTGATAAAACAATTGTCTATTAGTAGGTTAAATAGTCTATTTTTTGTGTGGTTGAGAAATTTGTTTTCTCTATGTACAGCATCTCAGATCCAAGACATATCGTTTACCATCCCTCCACGACTTTTCCCTAGCTCTATCATTGTGAAAGGTGTCTTCTTAATTCTTTTATTTTATCACTGTAGAAATGACACTCACCCTTTTTTCCATGGCCTTTTCATAAGCTAATTCAGCCTTTGTTTTTTTAGAAACAGAATAAGTTTGACTACTCTCTCCACTCTTGTTGGTTATTTCTTGTTTTAAAGCAGCCTCTTCTTCCTTCTTCTTCTTCTTTTTATCTTTCTTCTTTTTCCTTATAAAAAAACAAGATGAACAAAAATGGTGAAAAACGATCATCAACGTCAAGATATTATAAGACAATAATTATTTTTTTAAAGATGATCTTCAAATTTATTAGATAATACTGACAATCAGAGAATGTAGAGGGACAGTGGAAGGAAAATAGTCTGAAACATCTGCTTCTATTCCACTCCAATCCCTTATAGCTATAAAGACAGTTGTTGGCTTAAGTAGGGTCTGGAATACTTGGCAATGTTTAATGGGGTGAGGTTTTTTTTTTATCCATATTCATGTACATCGACAACTTTCACAATATTGCTATTAGTCTGGAATACGCCGAAGTGGCAGATGTTTCGGACTTGAAAAAATGTAAACCAAGAAAAATAATGGTAGATATCTTAGAAATGGGAAAATATTTCACAACCATTCTGGGTTTATTAAAAGATGACAGCACGAGGAACAAAATGAAACCAGTGTTAAAGCCTACTTTTTGATTGTGTGATCTGAAACTCCTTTTAATTTCAATCCACCAGTCTGAACGTTGTCGTAGGCAGACATCTTGGATATTAACCGGAAATGGCAGTGAGGTCTTATTGAATATATTTTACCTTTTTTAAATAAGGTGTTTTTTTTTTTTAAATTTGGCAGCACTTTGTCAAGAAAATGATTTTAAATTCGTTATTTACTTTAAATATTAAGTTTCATCTTAAAAAATTTCAACTTGTGTAGAAACTTGCTTTGAAATGTTAAAAATAATGATATAAAATGCCTGGTCCCTACTTCTACTCTCTGATTGGTCAATGTGATATTTGCGTCCCCTGCAACCTGAAAACAAGTCAACAGTGGAGCAACCCCTGACAGTTTCCTGTCAAATTTTATTTCTGACAGCTGTAAAGAGTTTCCAGGATGCCGAGAAGGGCTGTGAGATGTCTCGTGGACTTAAATCTAAATGCGGTATGTAACCTAGACGTAGTAAAATAGAAATTTGTAAATGTTGTTCACATTATTTTTTAGTTTTAGTTGATCAAATGGAATGGTGTGTCGACTTGGCGAAGCATGTCAAGTCTTGCCCTATTAAATGCCGCCTAAATCTTCCAAAATTGGGCCACTCCTAAATGACAGCTGTCATCTCTTTTACTGTTATTGAACTAAAGGAACGTTAAAGATTGTATTTGATACTTGAGATTTTTGTAATTTTACTTATTGATTTTTTTTATGAAAAGTAAATATTTTTATAATAAACCTTAGCAACAACTTTTTCCCAGTCCAATGATGGACAATACAGTTTTGGTATTGAAGAATGTCACTAGAGTGGATTAGAGTCATGTAAAAGTCGATTATAATTTGATTCTTTGATAAAGTGAGACAGAAATGTTCAGTCTGGGTCTGTTTCAATGTGTTCTTATGAGATTATAAACTTATACCTAAAGATAAGGCTAAAATATTTAGTGGCAGTTGACTGAATGACACAGTAATCCAACTTACTGTAGTGTAAGAGTATAAGTAGGATTAGGATTAGGTTAACAGTCAAGAGATTATGGCTAATTCTGATATTTTGAGTAAAATTCATCAAACTTTATACCGGCACTCCATTATAAGGATGTACATTCTACAACGTAATAAAATCTTTACAAAACTATATTCTAATACACAACATAAATAATATTCAGTAAAAATAGAAATGAAATTGTTTTGTAAACAACTAAAATTGCACATTTCCAAAACTTTACGTCTGGTCTTTACAAGGGTTTTGTACCCGGAATATAATATGTGTATGAGATGAACACTTTGCTGCAATTAGACCCTTCAAGACAAAAAATAATCATTACATATAAGTTTTTAGTTGTCAATCTATCAGTGGTAAGCTTATATTTCATCACAATTTTCATACAGGATTATTATATTTATTTTCTATCTTTCAATGGTATATTTTATAACAATTGATATACCGGTATTTATTTTCTATCTTTCAATGGTATATTTTATAACAATTGATATACCGGTATTTATTTTCTATTTATTTTCTATCTTTCAATGGTATATTTTATAACAATTGATATACCGGTATTTATTTTCTATCTTTCAATGGTATATTTTATAACAATTGATATACCGGTATTTATTTTCTATCTTTCAATGGTATATTTTATAACAATTGATATACCGGTATTTATTTTCTATTTATTTTCTATCTTTCAATGGTATATTTTATAACAATTGATATACCGGTATTTATTTTCTATCTTTCAATGGTATATTTTATAACAATTGATATACCGGTATTTATTTTCTATCTTTCAATGGTATATTCTATAACAATTGATATACGGTACCGGTATTTATTTTCTATTTATTTTCTATCTTTCAATGGTATATTCTATAACAATTGATATACCGGTATTTATTTCCTATCTTTCAATGGTATATTTTATAACAATTGATATACCGGTATTTATTTTCTATCTTTCAATGGTATATTCTATAACAATTGATATACCGGTATTTATTTTCTATCTTTCAATGGTATATTCTATAACAATTGATATACCGGTATTTATTTTCTATCTTTCAATGGTATATTTTATAACAATTGATATACCGGTATTTATTTTCTATCTTTCAATGGTATATTTTATAACAATTGATATACCGGTATTTATTTTCTATCTTTCAATGGTATATTCTATAACAATTGATATACCGGTATTTATTTTCTATCTTTCAATGGTATATTCTATAACAATTGATATACCGGTATTTATTTTCTATCTTTCAATGGTATATTTTATAACAATAGATATACCGGTATTTATTTTCTATCTTTCAATGGTATATTCTATAACAATTGATATACCGGTATTTATTTTCTATCTTTCAATGGTATATTTTATAACAATTGATATACCGGTATTTATTTTCTATCTTTCAATGGTATATTCTATAACAATTGATATACCGGTATTTATTTTCTATTTATTTTCTATCTTTCAATGG